GTTTTGACCTCACTAAGGAGGACCAGTTGAAAATAGACATGTACTGATCACATTGCATGTAATTTTCATGCTGCACATCCATGATTGATCTATGTCGTTTGATTGTATTGGTATATGTGACCATTGATGGGTCGAGTCACGATAAATGTGACGAAGGCCGCTTTGATCCTATATTGATATAGTCAATGGACGAGATTGTTCGGAAATACCATTTCAGTGATAGCAATTTTTGAGCTCATAAGGTTATACACAGTTTAAGGAATCATATGGTGCCCAAGTGGGAGATTGTTGGATTTAATCTAATAAATCTATTTGTGGGCACATATGATTAATCAATGTGTATTGCTATCTTTCAGGATAACCCACTAAAGTGATCAATTAAGTTGGGTTAATGGGTATTTAAATATAATCATGGGGTTATATGTGCAGATACCAGGTTGTAATTGTGATTTATTGAGGGGCTAAATTACAAAAGTACAACATCTATAAATAAGGGGTTATGGTCCCTAACCTAGGGTTACATTCTCTAATTCTCTACACCCCCATCTAGCTAGAGAAATTCGGATTTAGAGAAACCCTAAGGTTAGAAGATCATCAAAAACCCAAATCAAGATTTCATCCATGGATTCAGGTATAAGCTTCCGCTCTTTTGATTATTGTTAATCTCTTTGAATTAATCATGGCTATATGGTTTTAGATCTCAAGTTTTGATTTAGATCTAACACGATCCACACAGACGAACTCATTGTAAGTTACCCCATATTTAACCTAAATGCTGCTCCATATACACATTCTCATATCTTCGACGCTCACTCTGATTTAGCAGAAAAGAACAACAAGAAACTTAGAATTTAAACATGCATATCATGTTAGGATGTAAGTGGCAAGGTTTTAAAAACATGGTTAATCAGATTATGCGACAACTGATCGGATTACGCGAAATTGCACATGTGTGAATTTTTAATATATATATAAATATTCATGAATAATAGTTGACAAAATTCAGACCTCTAGAGGTTTCAATATAAACTCAAACTTGAGTTCCTCTAGGGGGTCTACCCAAACAAACACAATCTGATCGTATACCAACAAAGAATGAATTCAAACCCTAAAAGCGTCTAGGGCGAATCTACAGCTACAAATTGAACCAGGACAGAAGTTAACAAAGAGGGAAGCAGAGTACCTTTTGAGAGAAGCAACGACGGAGATTGGAACAGAGCTCGACGGCGGCGGGGGACTTGGAATCTAGTCGGCAGAGGCGCTGACGGTGGCGTCGGCGGCGGTGCCAAAAGAGGCGGCGGTGCCAAAAGAGGCGGCGGTGGGGGGTTTCTAGGGTTTATGCAAAGTATTTGCTAGTATTGTTGCGATGGTAGTCCCTGTTGACTCCCACCCTTGAATCATTGAATTTACAAATTAGGATACTTCGGAGGATGTAGTAGCAATTTAAATGATTTGAGTGACTAATTTCGAATGGCTTAATTGCACTTAAATATCGTCTAGTTTTCTCTATTTTGCACTTATATACCCTCACTTGTTTGTGTCAGCACTTATATACTCTTAATGGAGTTTTCAAAACTTGCACTTATAAACACTCACTCGTTTTAGCGTTGCTTATATATCCTAATTTTTGCTTGTTAGGGTAGATCTAGGTTTGTTGAGAGTTTAGTGTAAGTTATTAGGGTTGAGTATAATTTGTTGTTTTTTAATGCTGAGGATTTTCTGTAAATTTAGACTTAACATAAATCAAATTGGACTTAACTAGAAATTAGACTTAAAATAATGATGGATAATCTAATAATGCATATAGATTTTTGGCAAAACTTTGTTGTAGGCCCCTTATGTGCTAGCCAAAGTATCGTTTCGGATCATTAATATTTAGAAATCATCAACCACACAGTCATTAATATTATCATTGTCATCAATCTATGTTCTTTTTTGCAAACTTCTGTCATCTTGTCGGATTACAGATTTCGTTTTGTTGAAACGTCTTGTTTTGGGTCTTGACGCTTCATTGGACAATCTTTGAAATACGGAGACTCTTGTTGAATTATTCTTAGAGCATCCGCATTCTGTCAACACTGCTTTAATGAGTCTCTCGCAAGCGCAATGAGACTCATTTTCTCTGACAACTCTCTTTCTTGAGTTATCTTTCTGATAGTACAGCTCATCATTATTGTGATTCGAGCAACCTATCTTTCGCTTTTGAACTTTGTTAACATGCACAGGACGACTGGTCGTCGCCTCTGAGCGATCCAAAGTTGAATGTTTAAATCCACCCCCTTGCGGGTGTGGAGTTTTCAGAGGTCCTAAACGAGAGTGAACTGGTATTCTCTCGTTTTGGACTTGTGCAGTTCTGACAGGAGGGTGTTTACGACCCCCTGCATATGAAACCATTAATGGTTTATTTGCCGGACATGATTGTTCATTGACTGGGGCTTTGCCTCGATCAACTGAAGGACCAAGGCGATCTGCCATTGTTATCTTGAACTTAGACAAATCTGGGCTAACCCAGGGTTTCACCGATGACGCAGTAGATGGGCCCGGAACAGATGCTTGTGGTGTCTTTGGCATCCAGACTTTACGATTCTTCGGTGGCTTTTCAGTCACCGCCTCTTTCTTGGTTTCTTGCGCTCGTTGACGCAGAGCGCGAGCGTGGCAGAAATATGATTATCTTGCCATTGAGGCAACTGGGTCATTTTCTGTTTTCTCGACTCTAGGTCCGCATAGTAATGGACCCCGTCGGTTTGTTGCATGGCCTTAGCCAGTTGTCGAGCACGGCGCTGACGCTGTCTCTGACGAGCCCTCTTCGTCAGCACCGGCGAGCTATTCATCATCGACTCCTTAAGGGATGTGGAGTCGTTTGGAGCAGGTATGTTGCAGATGGGTTCCTTAGCAGCAATTGAGTAGGAACCTTCACCTGCGGCCTCTTTGGGCATTGCAGACTTGAAAGTTTTCGAAATCTTCCTATATTTGCGAGACGAGGAAGATTTCGCGGATGAGGATGATAAATACTCCTCAAACTTCGCCTGATCGAATTCGTATTCGATCTCTTCATTGATGATGATCTTGATCGGTTGCGACACCGCGGCCTCGGCAGCGAGGCCGCTGGCTCCCACTGTGGTCGCCAGCTTGTTTGGTTCAAAAGTCGCTGCTGTGGAATTCATTATAACTTTGTTCGATTACAACAAATTCGAAAGAATAATCTTTTTATAAGACTTTTTCTACACAACAAAACAAAAATTACAACTCTTGAGAAACAAACACGAAAATCGTCTATCAATTCTCGTTTTCGTGGGACTTTGCCTGTGCCGGGAACGCTTTGGTTCGTGGACCGCCGATTCACAGATCGTGAAGAGGGGGCTTATGATTCTAACTTCGTTATCGAAGTAGAAATTGAAACGATATCTTATCGAAGTAAGATAGTCGTTCTTCTTAAAATCAAGTCGAAGCTTAATTTCAAGGCGTTGCAAGAAAAGAACTCAAATCTCTGCTCTCTCTGCTCTGGAATGCTCTAACAAATGCTCGATCCTCGTCAGAAGTGACCCTAGGGGGGTATTTATAGCCTCAAGGGTCTGTAACTGCAAAAACTTAACAATCGAAGAAGTCAGTACGGCGAGACAGTAAATTTGCTGTCTCGCTCAGCGAGACAGTAAATGCTGTCTCGGAAAATGGCAGTTTCTCGTTGTAACTGTTCTTCCACGTTTCAAACTCCGTTATTTTGGCAGTTATCCACGTGATTTTCGCCCATGATGTTTCCCACGTCCCTTGGCAGTTAATGGACACGTGTAGGGCAGTTACAAATGTAGTTTTGACTATTTCAACACTGTCTCGCTGGCGAGACAGCAAAGACTGCCTTGCTGGCGAGACAGCAAAGACTGCCTCGCTGGCGAGACAGCAAAGACTGCCTCGCTGGCGAGGCAGTTCATACTTGTTTTGATTTTTTCCAAAACAGTATGAAATCATTTCTTGTGAATTTTTGAATGATCTTCTCTATGCTTGGGATATCTATTAGCATTTTTTTGACGCCTACATGCATACCTTAAATGCAACATAATTCTCAATGTTCTTTTGGCGTTACCGATGTCAACTAGCATATTGCTTAAATTTGACTCTTGCAAGTCCTTAAATTCCTACATTTAAGAGCCAAATCCAAAACGTACCACATTCCCTAGCATATTGCTTATGTGCTCGCCCCCGAACCAGAGCGAACCGGGTTCCACGCAACTATGCTTACAATCTTGTCCCCGCCGAGCAAAGTTTCTGGATCCGCCTCTGACATGAAGCATTGTTAATCACACCACGTGATTCCCCAAGAATCCAGCTGACTCTTCCATCTTAACCCAACAAGCTGATTCAGCACCCAGCAAGAAAACAAAATGCTCAAATATATTTGCCAGCTAAAGATTACATTCTCTACGCCTGCAAAAGTTAGGGCATTGACAAGCTCCGCATATCTTCTCTGGACGCGGCGGACCACCTCCAACATGTAGTACACAAGCCCATGACTCACGAGAGCCCTCCTCAATTATTGCCTCCAACATCAAATCATCACCAAATGCCTCTCAAAGCTAATAATTGCTAAGGTGCACAATAATCAAATAATAACTTGGAGTTAAAGAAATATGAACCCACGTCAGGTGGACCGGCAACAAAGCAAGTACAACGGATCAATGATATTATTGGTATGGTCTCTGTCTGATCAATTATTGCCGTTGCGACTCGGAATTGATCCGGTCAAAGTTTCAACATTTAGCAATGTGGCTTATTAAAATATTGGCTGCACAGATACTAACTCGCCTCGGTTATAGGCAAAGACTGAAAATTTATCAGCAAAGAGTATTGAAGAACAGCACCCCAGTGTTTTCAAGAACACCGTGTCAATGTTAAGGGGGAACTTATTGCACATGAAGCAGAAAAATATGTATGCGTATTGATTGTCGCTTTTCCTCGACCCCGAGCCAATGATGCTCTTACAAACATCAAACTTTCAGTCGACCGTGAGAATGAGAAACTCTGGGGGCAAATTTTTATTCAAAATCATTAAGAGAAACATGAATAACCCTTCTTGCTATAATAACTGTAGACGGTGAATACAAATGGGATGTACACTTTTAAGAGCGAGAACCCTATACAACCAAATGACCATGTAAAGCACTAGAAACGGTAGATTCGAAAACTTGAGATCGCTAAGCCCTGTCCGTTAACTTCATGTAATTTTTCAGCTCTCACCAGCCCATTAATGTTCTCCTTACTCTATCAATGATCTTACTTCTAGCCTGCTTATTTGCCAGGGGGTACTCTCTGGTCTCCTCCAAGAGAAATCTATAGACTTCCCACTGCCTCTCTGCTGTTGTGTGCCTCCCAATTTCAGCCTATACACCAAATATAAACAGAAATCAGCCAAGATTTCCTGAAATCTACTTAGTAAAATGCATTAATAACATTCACTTACTTACCTGAGCTATGGTGCAATTACATGGGTGACCTTAGAGTTCGCATATCTACATGGGTAACCCAGAAATTATTAATTGTAATTACGTAGGTAACCCTGAAGGTTAGCTTAATTGTTCCTTCTTAGGATCACCTGTGTAGATACATTTAGTGATCTCACCATGTAGATACTCTCCAAAGTCACCCGTGTAATCACACCATATTTCAGGGTATCTGAATGTAAATAATCCGAGTAAAGTTGATGTGCTAAGATTTCTTACTGAGAAAATGCAAATCCCAAGCACTTTTAGAGCAAGGGTGACATCATAAAACACCCGAGGTCTCCCCTTTCCGGAAAGCTCAACAGGATTAGCGACCAAAAGCTCGGTATCGGGGCCACGGCTAACAATTATTACTCGCAAAGGATGGAGCATCTCCAACCTCAATTGGGAACAAATTGTATTCTGCTTCTCTGGATCTACTATCTTCTTCCCATCAGCTTGCTGAAGAAAAAGGTCTATTTCACGATAGCCTTTCTTCTCAGACAGGAATCGACCATAGGCTATCTAAATTAAATCAGAATATAATTGTTGTTAGCATTTAGCAAAGAGGAAAAAGAATTTCTGTTATGAACAGTAATAAGGAGCAAGCTGGGTAGTAGAGAGTTAAATCTGAACGAAATCTATGGTAAAGTCAAATAATCGTCAACTAGGAAAAGAAACCACTAAAGGATCAGAGTAATACATAGAAAGTTTGAACTATATTAACCACACAGTAAGGTGATGAGATAGTGGGGTCATCCACTACGTTCCAGATATCTAAGCAAAGAACCAAACCGTTCAAGAGTTGACAATCATTAGACCAGTTAGGAAACAACTGCCAAATTATTTAAAGCTCGCTTTTTCAGTGACCACTTGATTTGTAGGTATGAGGTAGCTAAAGCTAATTAATATCTAGCCACATGTTGTTTTGTAATCTCTCTATCACAATAATTGAAAGGATAATTGAGGATAACACTCCTTGAGATAATCATAACAGTACTCTTTTGGGCAAGTTGCACGCTACAAGTTAACAAATAAATCCAGCCACAGAATACAGCCTCTACTGAAGAGAAGACATAGTTTGGAAAACTGCTTAACCAAATAATTAAACTGAAAGCAATATGATTACTAAAGTTTTATTGCATGACTGTACAAAATGATTCATAGCTACCAAGAAACTGATTACATGACGAAACATTCTGTTTTCTAGGGGGCTATGCTACAGTGAGAATTCTGGCACTAATCACATGCTCTTTTCAGCGTTATTATTAAAATGTTTCTTCTTTATACCATCAAGAAAGGATCTCATGTCATTGACCAATGAAGTATGATTCCCTACGAGATGAAATCTAATAGACACAAAACAACATTAAGAGAGAATAGAGAAGTAACTCCCAAAGTTATGTATTATACAGTAAACTTCAACTCAATGTACCTTGATGTCACAGTCCTTCATAGTCCTCAAAATGTCATAGAGGAGACCCTTCTGATCGACACAGTGAATTTGAAGCAAAGTTTGTGAAGGGCTTAGGGAATTATCTATGACCACATTCACCTTTTTCAGTTTCCTCATATCTGGACTAAGAGCTTGTGATCCAACTTCCCCTTCGGTTATCTCAGGGTGAAATAGTTCTTCAGCAACAGAAGGAGGGAGGGAAGAGAAACCTTGCTGAAAACCATCGGCTAATTGAAATTCACAACTAATGCATGAGTCTCCCAAAACATCATTCAATCTTTCGCATGTCTCATCTTGTCTCTTTTTGGTATGCAGTAGCTCCCTGAAATAAAATATTTAACCAGTAAGACAGCAGAGAAATTTTAACTTCCACTGCTATTCCAAGAGAGAAGCTTAAAATCGATAAGATCAATCCCTAAGAAAAAAGAGTTTGATGATGCAACAACCGTGTGGAATGGTAAATCTGTACATATATTTGAAAATTAATAAGGGGACAGAAGTATACATCAATAGTAAGCAAAAGAATTAGTGTCAATATCCACCGTGAAAAGCAATACACCAAAAACCCAGTCTAGGGAGAGTCCAAATTCTGGTATTACAGCATTATTTGCATTGCAGTATACATCCTTCTTTCTTCGTGCAATTATAGTGCTTTTGCACGATTTAATATAAGGTGCTCATAGAACCTTCAAACGTGTCCTATCACTGTGTTTTTTCTGCAAATGCAAAGGTATTACTGCATTATGGTAATGCGAGTAATAAATTCCACATATTTGAAGTGTCGCCACAATTTGTATGAATTACCAAGTTACTATGTTTATGATTCATGTCTAAGTCAAGGTAACTAGAAGCAGCATACACCACAATCTATAGCTCAATGGAGAAACAAATACAAGCTCCTAAAAACCAGGTATACAAACACTCACATGCCATCAGTAATAAAGAACAAATCCATGACTCTGCCATCAGGAGTCGTCGAAACCTTCACTCTTTGGATCAAAAGCTCAAGTTCAGAAAGGACATGAGTCACATCTGCAACATTTCACAAAATTTCATAAGAACTTCATCAAAAAAACAACTACATTCTCGTGTCCTCGTTATAAAGAGAAATGGCCAATCACCGTGCAGTAATCCCTTCCGGTCAACAGAGAAGAGCTTCAGGAGGTACGTCTGAGACACCGTGGGCCGAGTTCCAACATCAAAGTAGAAAGGAATCGGGTTCGATGGGCATAAGGAAAAAAGTCTCTCCTTTAAACTCATCCATGGGACGTTCATATTGGGCGAGCAGGGCAGAACCCATAGCACAACAAAACACCATTTTCCGTCGGTGGAGACATCTGTATTCAAATGTAAGTTACTACCACTAGAGTCAAGGTAACAAGCTAAACCCAGAAATTTCAATCAACTAAAAATCGAAAGGAAATTGTGAATTCTCTAAATCTTTTTTTTTTATATGAATCAAGTATAGTAAATCTAGAGGTCCATACTAAACTTCAACCAGGTCTAGGAAAAATGTATCCACAAATTGACAAAAAAATAAAGAAAAAATAGATATTCCAGGGGGGAAAAAGAAATCCTCGCTGTGTTAACATCAACATCAAGACTTTTCGGAAAGGCAATTTATGAAATTCCAAACCCCTCCTCCCATAATAAGTAAAATTAAAAGAAAATCCACTCCACAACCAGCTAAATATTCATAAAGAAATATGTTATCGAGGGCAAATGATATCTATTGATTACTAAATAGCTACAGGGTAGTACGTAGCGCAAAAATACGAGCATCTCAGATTCTCTCTTTGCAAAAGTTAAGATCTTCCGTATCTTTCATTGGATCAAAATTCCAATCAAAAAATTAAAATTAAAAATTCGTACAAATCATAAATACAGTTCTAAGTTATCAAGATCTCCAAAACCCTAAATTCACATCATTAAACAAATTATCAAATCAAGACTAGAAACATCGTAAAAACTACGCAGCGTAATTCTCAAAAAGGACAGCTCGAACTCAAAACAAAAAAAAAGGGAGTTATCCCAAAATAAACCCTAACCTCCTCTCGTAATGCACAGCCCAAACTCGAGAACAACTCGGCTAAGATCGCAGCCGAGCCCAGTTTCATCGGGGATCTCCACCACGTCCTCGCTCGGCACGCCCATCCCTAACGGAATATTCCGTCTAAATTCCGTTACCCGCCGTCTCCACCCTCTCTCTCTCTCTCTCTCTCCAAGGATCCTCGACAGCGAGTATTTCTAGCCGCCGCGCAGCCACGTGGCAAGCAATCATCGGATTGGTACATTGTGTCGGATTGGAAATGGACGGTCGAGATGGATTGATAAGGGCGCAAGACGCGAAACCTCGGCCGAGATCGAAACGTTGGGCTGTTTGCACCGTGAGATTTCGAGAAGCGACACGTGGACGGTGGACGCGGGTTTGGACCAACTGGGGAAATGAGTCCAGGTTTTTCGGGTTTTCACTAGTGGGGCCCGCGAAGGGGGGGTGATTTGGTGCGGGTGAACGGGACCGGGTCGGGTTTGGTAATGGTGACGAGGCACGGGAGCACCAGTACCGGACAGCTGAGTTTGAAAGGGATTGGGATCTGCTGTCGGATTCTTGCTAGGATTTGAATGGCTACGGATTCTCTGGGCTCCTTGATGCATAAAATTGATAGGTTCGTGGTATCGGAATAATTCTAGTTTCTCAAAATCTAGACATCAAACTTGATACCGCCAATTTTTGCCCGTATGATCCCACCAGAGATAATCCAGACCTCCAGTTCAAAACTAATCTAGTTTAGTCTGGTCCAACACCAATGCGGATCCTATCAGAACCTACCACGAGGTGCGAGAGAGTCGTTCTGATGTGAATCAATGAGATAGTTAGGATATTTCCACTCATGCAAAACTAATATGGGTTAATTCTCGAGTTAACTAGACTTCGATTAGATATAGGTTTTCAATATTTACAGCTTTTTTTATGTATGTCCCTCAAATTATTTGTATTTTTAAATTTTCCCTCCAAATCGCGGTAATTTTAGATTTGCCCCTCAAATTGTTTGCTTCCTCTAATTGAGCCCCCCAAGTTAAGTAACAGGGAATATACTTAGAATATTCTATCAAAATAGTGAAAGACTTTTTAAAATGGCCCAATTTACCCCTAATATAACATAGGTCTAAATTAAAATTCCTTATTTGATTTGATATGAACGATGGCTTCAAAAAGCAACACATGCTTCTTCTTGTTGCAACCTCAATCCTTCACAATCCGAATAGAAATCTTATCAGAAAACCCCCCCAACAGTGTGTGGTATTCTGAATCGCATGGTAGGGGCATGATGGTAATTTTCATCCATCCCCCAACAAAAAAAAAAAAAGATGCGGATCACCCCTCACAATGGGGTGCTCTGATAGGATAGCTACTTTATGCAATCAATTTTTCTTGGATATGTTCACCAGCGTTGCTTTAATTTTTAAATTTAAGTATGTATATTAATATATTGAACGGTAAATTACGCCTCTTTCTCCATCACTCAAGTTTGAGCGTAAAATTGGAGGAAGTAAACAATTTGGGGGATAAATATACAACTATAATGGATTTTAAGGGGCAAATTTTTTAAAAAACCAACAATTTGTCGAAATGCATGAAGCCTCGTATTAAGGGGCTGTTTGTTTGCCCAAAAAAAATGAGAACCCCCCCCGCCATGTCACCTTTGAGGAAGAAATCCTCCCCTGCCACCTCAGATTTTGGTTTCAACCGTTTTCCATTTCACATGTTTGTTTCATTTTGAGTTTTAAGAAAAGTGGGATGTCACGTAGGATGCCATGTCAAATTTTAAGAAATGTGTTTTCACACCAAAAACCTCTGAAAACATTTGGAAATGTTACTTCTATGAATCTTTAATTAATAAAAACACTGTTGAAATAGTATAAGAGAATAAAACAGATTATTTAAATGCACTGTTGAAATAGTATAAGAGAATAAAACAGATTATTTAAATGCTGATTTTACTGTTACTATTGCGGCTGACCTATATTTCTCTGATTTTACTGTTACTATTGCGGCTGACCTATATTTCTCTTTTTTTGTTCACAAACAAACACAAGAAATAAAAATCTATTCTACTGTTACTATTGAGGCTTTTTTTGTTTTTAATGTGACATGGCGGTGAAATGGGGTGATTTCTTTGCGAAACAAATAGAAAAAAAAACTGAAAAATGTCTTGAAATGTGATGAAAGTAAATGAAATGTGACATTTCCATTTCCGATTTTTTTCGGAAAACAACCAAACAACCCCTAAAAGGAATCAGGTAGAAATGAGAGAAGAAAAGTCCTCCGAGATAAATCACACCCAAAAATTACTCCTCAACAAATTCAAAACAACTTTTGCTAACTAATGACCTACAAAATCCTCATCATGCACAAGAGTAAACTAGCCCCAACCTTTGGACATCCTAATGGTGTGTTTGGGAGATAACTAAGCGAAGTTTTCCCTTCCTCCCCTTCCTTTTCTTTACCCCCAATTTGAGTGGCAAGATTTTAGTACAATTTTCCCCCTCATTTTCGTCCTCTACCCTTCTAAATAAAACTCTCATTATAAAGATACAACAAAATTTTTCTTCCCCTTCCCTTCTCTACCCCACCATCCAAACAGGCTATCAAAAATGCCGACATTAGCAAGAAAAGAGTCTAAGGGGAAGGAAAACGTGAGCAGAATAAAAAAAACATTACAATGACATTGATTAAGACTAAACACCAGATTTAGCGCAAACTCAAGTGCTGACACCACAATCAATGCCTGGCTACATCCAACGTACGCCCAGCCGAGTCCAAAAAAAAAAAAAGATGCCACTTGACATTAAATTTATTAAGACAATGACATTTCACATCAATTTCGAATGCTCGTGTAGTACGCATAACTGCCCCGGTTCATATCAAAACCGTGTATCAGCAAAATCTTACACCACTAGCTTTTTTTCAAACATCCTAAGATGACAAACAGGAAAAATATTAATTTCGCCCAATTACCATAACTCCAACCAAAAGTTTTAATTAAAATAAGGTATAACCAATCAATCGACCACCCAGGAAATAAAAAATAAAAATAAAAAAGGCTGCAAAATATAAGGGCGAGTGAACAGCTACTACGTAATATTACCACTTCGAAACAACGAAATTCACATGTAAACAGAGTTACTTCAAACAAACACAAAACACAACAAACCCTAGACCCAACTAAACCCACAAAAGAAAAAGGCCTGATCTTTTTTTTTATTTTTGTTTTAGCCCCCGAACCCATACAGAGTCCTCCCCTGCCTCTTCAGCGCGTAGACGACGTCCATCGCCGTCACCGTCTTCCTCCTCGCGTGCTCTGTGTACGTCACCGCGTCGCGGATCACGTTCTCGAGGAAGATCTTGAGAACCCCTCTCGTCTCCTCGTAGATCAGCCCGCTGATCCTCTTCACCCCCCCTCTCCTCGCGAGGCGGCGGATCGCCGGCTTCGTGATCCCCTGGATGTTGTCCCTGAGAACCTTCCGGTGGCGCTTCGCTCCGCCCTTGCCCAGACCCTTCCCGCCCTTTCCTCGGCCTGACATGGTTGAGATCTGAGGACTTTTGAGTTTTGAATTTTTCTTGAGATTTGATGGTGAGGACTGGGGAAGCGATTGGGGGTGCGATTTATAGGGTTTTGGGGTTTTGGGGGTTTTGGGGGTTTTGGCGGGAGAGGATGAGAGGCGTTGGATTTGGGGTGTGTTTTCAATGGACGGTTGGAGATTGCAATCCGTGGGGTTTGGGTCGGGGGGTTGTGGACCGTTAGATTTTAGTTGAGTTTGATGGTGGGGTTTTGATTGAGGATGTGCGGTCTCTGTTTGTGGTCCTGCTAAAGTACTGCTGAGTAATGGCACCGCAGGTTATGGATTAGTGCTAATGATTGTGGTGGGTCCATCAAAGAAAACTAGTATTAGGGGCTGTTTGTTTCACCCAATTGTTGTGCGCGGCAGAAGCTTTCTAGGGCAACACGACAATAACTCGAACTAAACCACAAACTCTATGCAAAACACAAGCACAGCAAGAACAAAGAATTTTACGTGGTTCGGCAAATAGCCTACGTTCACAGGGCAAGGAGGAGGGGAGTTTTACTACTAGAAATCAAGAGAATACAAATAGAGTTAAAAATCTCTCAGACCAAACCCTAAAACAAAGCTCTTGATCTTTCAAATCTCTCCCACAATTGAATGCAACAATCCTCTCTCCAAGGCTGCTCAAATTTGTCCTTACCTTAACCCTAAACAATCAGGATTTGAGTTATATACAACTCAGAAACGAAACGGGTCAAAAACCAAAAGGCCCAGCCCAGATCATTGTCGGTCGACCGCGGCGGTCGACCGCAGCGGTCGACCGAATCTGAG